AGACGGGCTCCAGCCCCATCCCCTGGATCGCGGCCATCGCAGCAGTAGCAGCAGGAGCCGCAGCAGGGAGGGGAGGGGGGGAAAGCAACGCGCGCCCCCCCACCAGCCTTCCCCATGTCCTGCCAAGCTTGAGCCGGCACAGATCGGGGAGGGGGAGGCTGGAGAGGGACACCCCCCTCCCGAGCCCCTTCCCTCCGCCACCTCCCCGCGGCGGAGCCGGTCGTGCAGGACCTTGGACAGTCGCCACGACGCCGCCGGCCGGCCCGCTTGAGGATCAGCGCGGACTGCGGTGGGTACCACGGAAGCGAGCGGCGTGGGTGTTTTTGGGGTGGGTCGAGGGTGGGGGGGAGAGAGAGAGACGCTCGATGATGGAGAAGAGCAACCCCATTCCCGTCTTTCCACCCCCCCTTCCCTTTTTCAGTGGGTCGCGGGATGAGGGTGGGGGATGCCGGGCGAGGAAGGAGGGAGAGAAGAGGGACCCGCGTATGTTCGTGTGGATGGATGGATGGATGGATGGATGGATGGATGGATGGATGGATGGATGTGAGCATGCCGAGAGGGCTCAACGCAAAATAGCGGCAGAAGGGAAGATGCTTTGAGGGGAGACGGGAAAGACATTATGTAATTAGGTAGGTGCCTCTAATGGACCTAATGGTTTCTCGCTTGACAGCTGTTTGGTAGCCAAGCTGGAAAAGGAGATTTAAAATGGAGGTGTGTGCTTGCAATTATAACAAATGCATGACTGATGTCTAAGTATCCAGACGCCTTATGCTGAGGGAGAAAAGCATCCTTTAGAAAGAGAAAGCGAAGACCTTTTTGCCCATCCGACATGGCTCTTCTGACCAAATGGGCTCTGACTCACAATTTCAGGGTGCGGTGTCCCCTTGTTTTTGCAGCAGCAGCAATAGCAGCAGACGAATATGGCTACCTCTTAGAAATACAGATAGACGAGCCTAAAGAGGTTTTCACATCGCTTTACATATGCAAGAGATAAAGAGCTGGTACGTAAGCTTGGGTGTTGTGTCTGTAAAAAGATGATGCAGGCCACATAAGGAAAAAAAGGGAAACCCCAGGGGCATTTGAGATGGACGTAAAACGGTGGTTCACAACTTTGGGTCTCTAGATATGTTCTTGGACTAAAACTCCCAGAAGCTTTCACCACTAGCTGTGCTGAACAGGATTTCTGGGAGATTTGGTCAAAGAACATCTGGGGACTCAAGATTGGGAACCACTGACATAAAAGATTTTGGAAGGGATGGAGCAGAGCAGAAAAGGCTAGAAACACAGACAATGTCAGATATACAGTATATGCAAGGGAGTGTATGTGTTTTCTCGTGTGCACAGAGGAAAAAAAGGAGGCAGTGCATCACAGGGAAAATGGGCTTCTCTGCCCATGCTTATTTGAATCATTTTTGCCTTTGGCAGGTCTAATACTAAGCAGAGAAGGCAGTGGTGGAGGCGAGGGAGTGTTTGAAACAGAGGCACCCCAGCCCAGGGTGCTGACGGCACACTGACGGCTCCCTTCTCGGTTCCTCTCCCTCCCTGCCTCCTGCTGCTGGCGCCATGGGCACCGTGTTGTCCCTTTCGCCCAGTTACCGGAAGGCAACCCTCTTTGAGGATGGCTCAGGCACCGTGGGGCATTACACGGCTGTCCAGAACAGCAAGAATGCCAAGGACAAGAACCTCAAGCGCCACTCCATCATCTCGGTTCTGCCCTGGAAACGCATTGTGGCTGTGTCAGCCAAAAAGAAGAATTCCAAGAAGGTGCAGCCCAACAGCACTTACCAGAACAATGTCACCCACCTCAACAACGAGAACCTGAAGAAGTCCCTCTCCTGTGCCAACCTCTCCACCTTTGCCCAGAACCAGAGTGCTCAGCCCCCAGCCCCAAATAACCAGATTTCTAGCTCCAAGAGCACCCTCTCCTCCATCAAGAAGACTCCCCACCCCAACACCAACTCCTCAGGCACTCCCAAGAGGGTGATTGTCCAAGCCTCGACCAGCGAGCTCCTCCGATGCCTGGGTGAATTCCTGTGCCGACGGTGCTACCGGCTGAAACACCTCTCCCCCACCGATCCGGTCCTTTGGCTCCGGAGTGTCGACCGATCCCTCCTTCTGCAAGGCTGGCAAGACCAAGGGTTTATCACCCCAGCCAACGTGGTCTTTCTGTACATGCTTTGCCGGGATGTCATCTCATGCGAAGTGGCCACAGACCATGAACTCCAAGCTGTCTTACTTACCTGCCTCTATCTCTCCTATTCCTATATGGGCAATGAAATTTCTTATCCTCTCAAGCCCTTTCTAGTAGAGAGCTGCAAAGAGGCCTTTTGGGATCGCTGTCTATCCATCATTAACCTCATGAGTCCCAAAATGTTGCAGATCAATGCTGACCCGCACTATTTCACTCAGGTCTTTGCTGACCTGAAGAACGAGAGCAGCCAGGAAGAAAAGAATAGGCTACTCATTGGCTTGGACCGGTGAGCA